CGGCAAAGTTGAAAATCCTCTCCAGCGAGGCCAGTGAACATTTCATCCCTGCTTCATGGAAGGCACAGAGGGAAACATGGAGAAGCCCAGAGTGAGCAGGGGGCTAGCATCAGAGCACAGTTGCTCCCAAGCCCGCTGCACTGGAAGGCAGTGCAGCCCTCTGACAGACAGGAAACAAACACCATCACCTACTGGACATGCAGGCAGAGCTGCTGTAACCACTACAGCAGCAGGCGTTTGTAACTGGAAGACAGAGCCAGGAACCTGAGGAAGCTTTTTGATTTATCAGGACTAAACTTAAATTTCAAACATAATCAATAACCGGAAATAGGACCCTGAAGAACACAGGACAGCTCATACCTTATAGGGCAGACCTGCAGGTGCCTGAAGAGTTTTGGGAGATAAGAGACAGAAAGAGGTGGAACAGCCTGAACATGCTACAAGTCCAAGAGAGATGCTGAATTATGGGTCACAAGAATGACCATGCAAGGACCACTTGTGCTGTTGCCACTGACAGGGCACAGCTATTGCTGCAGCTAACAGAGCAAGGCTGGGCACCAAGCTGCTCTGCACACCTACTGTCTCTGTGAGGTGACAAAAGAATAAACACATGCATTGCTATGACTATGTTTTTTGCCAAAAGCGGCTCCTTGGCTTCCCTTGCACTCATCCAATGAGATGCCTGCAAGAGCACCTTTCCTCATGGGAACTTCCTTATTAGAGCCAGGCAGACAGCAGGAACAAGTTCCTTCCCTCCCAGCAAAAGGTACTGCAGGGTGCCCTGGCTGCTTGGCTGTCAGCTTACTCATCTGGAATCCTGAGCCTGCAGCCCTGTGACCACTGATGGCACTGATCCAAGCACAGCAGCTTCTCCACCAAGCCAGTGAGCATTTCTGACTGTTCAGCACAGAACACACCCCTTGCACACACCCCTGCCACCCCACCCCCCATCTTCTAACAGAGAAAGCAGCAGCAGCTTTACTGCTTCCAGGGAGAGCCTGGAGGTTCCCCATGAATTATGTCCACATTTCCACATTGTGTACACAGAGATGCCTCTCCTTCCATTGACTGGGTTGGAGCTGCAGAGCTCAAGTTTTTGCCCAGCTAGGGCCTTTGCAGGAGATACAAATGACAATCTCCTGTGCAGGGAGGGACTTGAGTTTTGAGATGCCACAGATGCTATGAAGCTTTCCTTCATGTACTTGAGGAGATCTACAGATCTCTTCACACAGCCACGCAGGACAGCATCACATACACTTCCCCTAGGATAAGCTTCACGATTCATGCTCTGGCCAGCATAGACTGACATTGCTCTGAGGACTCCATAGAAACTAAGCTGATTTACTTCCCCCTCTCAATCTGGGATTTGGTGTTAGACTCCACACACAGACAGAAAATAACCTCCGTGAACAATCCTTAAGCTTTTGCATGAACATAATCAAATTTCAGGAGCACAACATTGAAAATGCTGCTACCATTCATCATCTAAATTACAAAAGGTAAAAGAAAGTTGGTTGGTTTGGGGTTTTTTCCTCCTGCTACCCAATGGAAAAAGTCTCTACAGTTCAGTAGCGTATTTCCTGGTGGTCACATGGTGACAGCTGACAAGCAAACCTGAATGTCAAATAACTTGTTACTTCATCTCAGGTCAAGCCTGGGTAAACAACCCAGGAATTGCTCTCCAAAGAACACCCTAAACAACACTGCTCAATCTAGTGGATATATGGTCTCCCTTCTGTATTCTTAGTACTAGAAGCATCCCTCAGCTTGCTTTACAATTTTCTGCTGGCATTGTCATGCTTTACAAAAACAGCTAACTCCTACAGATGGGGAGTTGATAGCCAGCTTTGCCTCTGACAGCAGAACCCTCCTCTTCCACCCAAAAAAAGGCAGCAGTTCAGCAGTTCCAATCCACCCTCAGATGAGAGCTGTATAGGACAATAGTCACATGCTACACAGACAATTGAGACGCTGTTGGTTAACTCTGAGTCACAAGCACAGTCCAGGACCTTAGCATAAGCTCAAAACCAGCTTTCCAGTGATTACAGGTTCACATCCCATCATTCATCCAGGCTGCTATGCTTCGAAAGCAGGCACACCAAATCCCATACAGCTCAGAGTGAGATGATTAAAGATCCTTAACAAAAATATAACCCCTATTCTGTATCAAAGATTTAAGAATCCAACAGTGGCTGCATTTTAGCGTTACTCGTGACTGAAAAAAAGGAGTCTTGTCACATCACAAAAGCCAGTTTTACTCATCCAGGCCCAGTGACTTAAGGATTTTTTTCAGACAGGTAAGCATCCTCTGAGCTCCAGGCCTAGAGTTGGCGAAAAGCTGTAGAATTTGAGGTACACGTAAGAAAGAGACTGCAAAGCCAGCACAAAAGGATTGCTCAGTTGCTTTGCATATAAAGGTGCATTTCCTGGTGTGTTGGACTCCAACAGCCCAAAGACACAGACATGACAGAAGCCCATTTTCTAGAAAACCCTCAGGACAAGAAGTGATTCACATTACAACACTGCAGTATGCACAATCAAGTAACCTGTAAACATGCGAGACTTTGCCCAATGCACCTTGATAGCCACAAAGATTATTCTCGTCGAAAAACAGCAATGCTTTTTCATGCCAGTGAACAGAAGAACCTGAAAGCTGGAGAGCGCCTTTCAGATGTGGGACAATTATGACTGTTGTAGCACTGGAAAATAAAACGAAGATCCCTACAACTTAATAGTAAAGTGCTTAAGAGCTCGGCGAGGTCATATCAGACCGTAAATACCTTCTGGCCTCTTATTTAGAAATAAGGTCCTCTGTTTAGCTAATATGGATGTCCAATGTTGTTTTATTTGGTATTCTCAAATCCACCTTTGAAGTCCATAGTGAGGTCTCAAGGCTGCAGATCATTTGGTCAGGGCTTTCAGTTCAGTGTTAGCCCACAGCAAAGCCTTGCTGCCATATACAAATGATGACAGCATGGTCTTAATTCAGGGAGAAGGCAGAACCAGCTCAGAGGCAAGCTGAACAGATGCAAAAGCCAGAAGGAAAAAGTTGGAAAAGAAACCACTAAGTGGTATCTTACACTCTGAAATCCAGGAAAATTTCTGTTCTCTCTGATCAGGGTCTCAAAAGATCGGAACTAAAGAAAACCCCAAAGGAAGAGGTTTTTCCCCTCCTTCCCAGGAAGTGTTTATTTTTGCACAGTAGTCTCTCATTGAGTTCAGAGCCAAGTACAGATGCATGAAGGCACTAACCTTATCTACACACAGGCAAATAAACAAGGCTTCTGCAAAATTCCCCTCTGCTTGTCACCCATCAAGAGACACTATATAACATTCCAATTTGGTGGACAGGGCAACAGACACTGCAGGGTTGCAGTTGCCATAAGCTTCAAAGCCCACCGGCTATTACACCTACTCTGACAGAAACCAGCTACACAGCAAACACAGGTACTTGAGATCCTACAACAGCCTGTACTAGGACAAACTGCTCTCCTAGTACAGGCTGCAGCTGTACTTTCTGCCCAATTCCCTTCTTCCCTATGATTTCATTCTAACCCCTGGACCTCAACCTAGAATCTGCACTGTCAGGAGGGTTTATGACAGGGACAAAGTGCAGCGATACCATGCCCCAATCAAGCACCCCATTTGCTTTTACTTTCAGAAGTCAGCTCTGTTGCCTTAGAACTGCTCTCTACCTAATATATATACCAGCCACAAAGGCAGGTTCAAAAGAAACTATCCTAGAGAAGTCAAACTTAAGACAAAATTTGAATACCCAAGACCCAAGCCTTGGCTGGCTTTAAGCAGCATGGTTCGGCCTTTCAGGAGGTAGGTGAATGCTGCCCCTAACTCAGTCCTCTTTATCACGCCTCCCCTTGTGGGAAAACCTATTCTAATCCTGACTCACAGAAAGCTCTCTATGAGGCTGGGTAACTCCGCAAGCGCAATGCCTAAGCACGTCATGAATGCTCTGGACATCTAAATAGCAAGAACAAAGTAGACATGACAACAGACTTGCTCAGCACTATAATGGCATCTGAGCAAGGCAAAAGATTTGGGCACTACCACCAACCTGTCTCATGTTTGTGCCACCCTCTGAATAGCACATGGACTACTCGGGGAACTAACTGGGCAGCCACCTCTTCAACAGAAGCAACAGCAATTAAAGCAACACAATCCCTGGCAGCTATCAGCAAATGGGTCCCTGCAGGAGGGATTAAAGAAGACCTTCTCCCTTGTCCATGATAAAAGCTGGCACCATGGCATGACTACAGCCTTTGAGATCCCAGATTGGGTTTTGAACAGTTGGCAGGAGCCTCCCATCAAGCTCCAGAAGCAACGGTTATACTTCCTTGGGCATTTCTGTAAACAAAATGCTAAGGAGAGGAAAACTTCAAACCTAACTACATAGAAAAAGCTAACTTTTGCTGCATGACAGCTACATCTCAAAACTCTTACCTGTCCCCAAAGAACAGGGAGTGCCTTGGAAAGACACCTGTGATCAAGGTGAGAGAAGTTCAAGCAGTAAACAGCCGTGGTTTCACTTGACTTTAGGAGAGGTTCGTAATTCTCTGAGACTAAACAGACATATCTGATTGTCTCACACCACATGCCCCTTTCAAGTTTAAGATCCTTTTCTGCACTTATTCTCAGAATGAAAGCTTCCAAGTCCAGACTCTAGCACGTGGTTGTTGACATTCCCCCATATGCAAAACAGCTGAACTTCAAAACAGCAAAATAACAGGAGGCACCCCACACCATTCTCTTCAGCTGTTCCCTAGACATACCTTAAGCAGGGACAGACTACATTGTGCACCTGCTTCAGAGATTACTTTTTAAGGTTTATTCTGTAACTTCAAAGCAGAGACAATATCTAGCTAAACTGGAGATCTAGCTCTTGCAGAGAGCAAGAAAATTCCCCAGTGCCCTACACCCCCATGAATAACCCTCTTCCAGAAATAAAGATGCTCAGACAGAATAAAGCGAGATTTCCTAGTTACCTGACAATGCTGTTCAACTCTAATCCATATACGCAACACACTGCTTGACGTCTCCATCTCCAGCTGCTTCACCTCCCATTCGCAGCCACTAAGAGCTGGTGCCCACATGGTGAAAGCCGGCTCCTCTCCAACAGCCCTACATTCAAACAAGCCAAACCCAAGAACCGGGCCCTCACAAGTCCGCGTTACTGTGGTGGTGGTCAAAACCAAGACTTATCATCATCAGGGGCCTTCCTGACATGTGCTGCTAGTCCCCTCTGGGGGGCACAGCAGCAGCCACCCACTCTCCATTCCACGGGGGCCAGATGTCCATTTCAGATGGGTGCTTCACCGCCTTACAGGGCTGAGGTGCCTCTGACACCCCCTTGGGCCTCAGCTTGTGGCACGCTGCCACCCGCAAGGAGAGGGGAGTGAATACTGAGGTAAAAGCCTTTAAAACAGAGCACTGCACGCATTTAGGAAGAACGAGGAGGAAGGCGGAGCGCTATTTCCACCCCGCCGACGCT